CAAGTACATCCGTGAGGTTTCCCCCCTCTTCAAGAAACCGTCTCTGGTGGCCGACCTCCCGTGGGACGGCCTCCGACCTCAGTCTCCCAGCTACAGCGGCAGCGATGACTCAGGTTCTCCCAAACATGGAGCGTCCTCCAAGGACAGGAAGGTGATCAGTCTGAGGATGAGCTTCTGACCATGCCTGACCTGGAGAACAGGTGAGCAGTGGAGGCAGATGATGATGATGATGATGATGATGATGATGAAGGCCATCAGACTGGATGTTCTCCTTGTTCCCAGACTCCTGGAGCTCCACTCTCCTGACGGCCAGCACACGGTGGTGCTGCGTTGTAAAGACGCGTCCACGGCTAACTCCTGGTTTACTGCCATCCACACTAACGTGGCAGCCCTGCTGCCGCAGACCCTGGCCCACATCAACGCCTACCTGGGAGTGTCCTCCCCCACCTCCAGCCACCCACACCTCAAACACATCGGCTGGTTGGCTGAGCAGGTGCAGTGACCCACACAAATCTTGCCTACCCCAGCTTTCATTTACCCTCCCCCGGTGTGTGGGACTGTATCTCAGACAGGAAACCAGTGTTGTACTACTTCCTGTGGATTTGATTTGTTTATGACATAGACGACATTTAACAACCTGGAATCTTTCTGGCCTAGCTGTGTCCGGTTGTCTTTAGGTCATTCTTCTTCTTGTTGTCCAGGTGCAGCTTGAAGGTGGTCGACAGCAGCACCGCCCGATGGTGATGGCCCTCACAGAGAAGGACATCCTGCTTTTTGAATCGGTCCCATGGACCAGAGAGTCCTGGTCTACACCTCTGCTCACTCACCCGCTGTTAGCCACCAGGTAAAAGAAACTAGAGAAAGCAATGATGATGTAGTTACACACAGCCCCCTACTGGTTGAACTCAGCCTACACAGCAACTTGCTCTCTGTCAGGACATGTCTGCAGCAAAAGATGGACAGAAAAAAAAAGAAATCCACAAAATCCAAAGGTCCATAGAGAATATCAGTCTTTTTGGTTGCTAGTCCACACCAGTGGATTTGGTTTTCACGATTGACTTTGGTCTGTCAGGTTGGTTCACTCTGGCAGTACTCGTGGATCCCCCTCCCAGGGCTCAGACCTGGTGTTCGCCACTCGGACAGGGACGGGGCGAGGCATCGAGTCTCACATCTTCCGTGTAGAGACCCACTGGGACCTGTCCTCCTGGACTCGTGCGCTGGTGCAGGGGGCGCATGCTGCTGCTGAGATCATAAAGGAGGTTTCCATTGGTGAGTGTGTGTGTGTGTGTGTTATGGAGTCAACAGCAGTGTAAATGTCTTCCTCTTTTAAAGGGTTACTTCTCAGTTTTATGGAGATTTCCCATCATTCAGTTCGGTTTTCCTGCAGGTTGTACGTTGAACCGTCAGGACGTGCGGCTGACGCTCCACTATGACAAAGGCTTCACTGTGACCAGAGAGGCAGCCGATCCAGCAGGGGGTGCTGTCCTCTACAGATACCCATACGAGAAGCTCAAAATGTCGGCTGATGACGGAATCCGTAACCTGTACCTGGACTTTGGGGGTCCTGAGGGAGAGATGGTGAGGACGCTGTGGACCACGTTAGACCTCGACAGAGACTTAGGGTCTACACCGCTAAATGGCTAACATCAAGATGCTAACTTTAAGTTAACTTTTTGGAGAACGGTTAGCTCCAGTGGCTGTGGTATTGTTAGCAAACTGTTAATTCATAGCTAAGCTAATTAAATCAGCAGTCTAGCTATCTTTCAGACTAGCTTTTAACTTGTGATTTGCTAACATTTTTGTGCTAACATTTAGCTGTTTTTTTTTTTGCTTTTTTGTTTTGTTTTTTGTCTAATCCTCACCTCTGTCTGCTCGTCCTGCAGGTCTTTGACCTTCACTCTGGACCCAAGCCTGTGGTGTTCGTCCTCCACTCCTTCCTGTCGGCAAAACTCACTCGAATGGGTCTGCTGACGTGAAGCAACCAATCACAGCTGTGGACACGCCCATTCAGCAAAGAGGAGGAGGAGGTAATAGGTGTCAAAGGGCAGAGGTCACATTTAAATTAGTTTATTCCAGTTTGTCATTCAGAGCTGGGATTCAGCAGAAAAGATAGGACCAGTTGGTAACACCTTACCACCAGGGGGCGACTCCTGTAGCCACCACTTCTTGTTGGA